TCTTCCGATCTCCCCAAAACCCCAAAACCCCACCAGGCTATGTTCTATTAGCATATGTCTATAATTAATTGATTATTAAATTAACAAACACTACTTAACTTATGTATAAAAAACCTTTCTATCGCCATCTAATTTCAAACTCTTGAGAAAATTTGTGACTCTACAAAAGATGTTCAAAATTTTTAAATATCCAATCGAAATGAAATTTATTCATCTTAATGTGACTTATTCCTGCTTTTAAAACCTTTTACTATTGTAATCCTCAACATCATTGAGCTTTTAAATCTAGAATCCATTTTCAGTACTGGGCATATAACCCCCGTAATCAACAAAAAGCTATTATGGATCGAAAAACTTTATTAAATTTTACTTAAAGTTATCATCGAATAGAAGTAAGTGCTTTTTGTAAAACTTTTACTAAAACTTTTATTGAACTTGAATTTTAATATTCTTGAGGTTAATATTTACTACATAAATCTTGTTGAGTCTTTCGGGGTAGTGATTAGTGATAAGCTCCTCAATGATCTCAAAGATATCTAATCTAAAACTACCCTGATCAAGATCAATAAGAATAGATAACTTATTTTAAAGACCTTCTTTTCTAACTTTCATTGGTAGTAATGTTTCAAAAGTGTTGATAAGATATTTTTAGTAGCATTATGGAGTCACCTATTTACTAGTACAGACGTCACCTATCGTTACCTATTCATTTTAAATCGACTTATTTGGCTTTAGAATCAGAGTGGGACATTCATCTCTATCATGACCAAAATTAACAGCAGATTATGATCTTATAATATTGACTAGTGAAATACTTTTGACAGGTAGTGTTGCCTTTCTCCAAGTTATGTCCTATATTATTTTCCTAGCTGCGATTTATTAATTGAAGTTCGATTACTACAGGAACCTTCTGATTTCAGAAAAATCATATCTTTAAACCCCTTGATACTGAATATTTTGTCTTAAGCACTCATCCTAAAGAATCATTAATGTCTTAATAATCTTTTCTTGCTTTACTGAACCATATAAATCCTAATCAAAATCTTCTTAAGCCTTAATAGATTACTATGTCCTTGATTAAGGTTTATTCATAACTATTGCTTGCTCAAAATCCTGATTCTAGCGATTGCGATGCTAAGAACTGGGTGTCTAGGTCTTGGTAGAGACTGAGCCATCCTGTTATTTTTTGGCAAATAAAGTATTATTTCTCTTCTTTTTAATTACCTCCTCGAAGAATTAAGAATTTTCTGAAAACCTTGAATTTCTTCGAGCTTCTTTCATCTTTACTGTGTCGATTGACATTTGAGTGTCAATTCTAGTATTACTCTTGTTTAAGTCATTCATTCTAGCTGACATCTCCTGCTTAAATCTCTCAAACACAAGCTCCTCCCTCTCATTCTGCATCTCTTCAGCAAAGTAAGACTAAAGATCAACCTTGTCTCTTTAAGTCTTGTCTAATTTTCGGGCTTCATTTGAACAGCAGCTATTACCCATTTTATTAAATTTTATCTTATATATTCTTAAAGCTGCTCAAGAGAGTACTTTATTAAATATTGCATTTTTAATTTCATTCATAAATTTAAATTAGGATGAGCGGGGTTTTGGGGTTTTGGGGTTTTGGGG